GATAATAGTCATGAGTATCAGGGTCGTTGGAGAAGCGAAATAAATCCGTTGGAATCAGTCCATCAAGGATTCGCCAATCGATCATCTTCCAACGCATTTTACTTGCGCAATAAACTTAAAGATTTCTTAAATAATAACAATGTATAAATATAAAAAAACTCGTATAAGTCGCATATATAATTTTTATTTTCATTCACAAAATCTTTTATTTTATATCGAAACTGAAATGCGTTAGTAGCTGATCGATTGGCGGACCATTGATCCCTTTCGTTTCTCTTGCGACTCTGATACTCATAAATACCTCAAAAACAACGTTCTTACATTTTTCTAGTCCTTAATCCATATATACTTGATATTCTTGCGTACACTTCAAATAAAACTTTTAGTTAATAAAATTTCTAGTACAGATTTATTTACTAAATAACATTTTAACATTTTAATAAATTAAAAATAGTTGTAATAATAAAGCTACAAGCTAATCCAAACAACTTAAATTTTGATATTGTTATAACAGTATAGTGCTGATCATAATTTTACGATACTCACATATTGAAAAGATTTGACCATTTATCCACATATTATTTACTTTTAATTATTTGTTTATAAAAATACAGTTTATTCAATTTTAGTACAATAAGGTGTAAGTTTAAAGTAGCTCCAATCTACAGTTTTTTTGGAGTTTTTTTGTTGAAGGTGTTGCTCATTTTCTCCATTTAAAAAAATCGTCGAACATACTTTTTATGGAAGAAAATGACTTACATCGTCAGCGAAAAAAAAATCTCAAAAATAAACGGTAAGTGGGAGCTACTTTAAGCTTACACCTTGTTGCACTAAAATTGAATAGGCTACAAAGTGCATACTCAAAAAATTTCTAGGAAAGCTAATTAAAAAGGTTGATATTTTTACGAAAGTTTGTTGATTTCTATTAATGTTGCACAAAGATTTAACCTTGGATTTATACGGTTTTTGTTAAGGTATAAACTGTATTTTTATAAACAAATAATTAAAATATGTGAGTGTCATAAAGTTATGATAAGCACTATATAAAAACGTGTATACATTTATTTATTCAATGGAATTAAGCGTTTAAATAAATAAAAAATAGTTGTTCCACAACCATGAGATCAGTTTCAATTTTTATATTCAATTTATAGAGGTAGTTGTACGTATATACATACATACACGTAGATATACATATGTATATACTAGCATATACACTTGTGGTCAGGTAATTAAGTTAAGTGATATTTTGACTAGTTTTGGCTATTTTCCCTTCGTTTATTTAATGTTTATAATTTTTTCTATAAAAGTCTAGCACATTAAATAACCGGCACCACATAAATCCACACTTCAAACTTCGCATAAAAACTCAACAAACTTTAACAATTACACCCAAAAGTTTTAAACGTTTTAAACAAATGTTAGAAAAGTTTTAGGTATGCAGTTTTATGGCCCATGAAATTTTAGTAGGTTAAAGTGGCGATTTCAAGACGCTAGAAAATGGCGTTGGTTTTTAATAATTTTTTTTTTTGCTGACGGTGTTGAGCATTTTTTCCCATATAAAGTATGGTCGAGAATTATTAAAAATCAACGCGATTTTCTAGCGTCTTGAAATCGCCACTTTAACCTACTAATCTTCATGGGCAAAAAACTGCATACCTAAAACTTTTCTAAAATTTTTTTAAAACGTTTAAAATTTTTGGGTGTAATTGTTAAAGTTTGTTGAGTTTTTATGCGAAGTTTGAAGTGTGGATTTATGTGGTGCCGGCTATTTAATGTGCTAGACTTTTATACAAAAAATTATAAACATTAAATAAACAAAGGGAAAATAGCCAAAACTAGTCAAAATATCACTTAACTTAATCACCTGACCACAAGTGTATACATGATCCATTTCCAACTTCAAATATACTACATATATTATACGTTTATTTATTATATGTGACTTAGAACAATTAGAAGCATACCAGAGGAGTATGCAGTTATCATTGACGAAAGATATATAGGTTCCAAAGGTAAGATTGCTTTGATTTTGATTAGTTTGGACATATATTAAACCATAGTAAACATGTAAGTATATACAAACATATATACTTACGTAGTTTAATATATACGTGTATGTACAAACATATTTGAAATGGGAAATTGATAATGCATATATGCTTGTATATATTTCTTTATAAATATATACTATTATATCTGTGTCCACAAATCATGACAGATTAAGCCGAGTTAAGACAAAGTTTGGTATATATTTTAAAACGCTGCCAAAAATGAAGGAAACGAGGTAGAGCTAATATTCTTTAACACAAAGTTAGCAAATTTGTGAAATTTCAGTCCAGGACTAAATTATAAACAAAAGGTTCATGTACTTAAGAGAGTTAAACATTTAAAAACGAGTTGGGCTGTTATGACTTGTGGGCACAGATATATCCCTGCTCAGTTTTCCATTCCAAATATGTTTTTGCATACACGCATATACTAAACTACGTACGTATATATGTTTGTATATACTTGCATATTTACTGTGTATGTACACATAAATATCGCCTAGCTATTTAGTTTATTCTGAAAAAATAAATTTGAAAATTATTAGAGGGGAAGCAAAACATTAAATTATTCTCTAATCATACCTATATACTCGGTATAAAATCGGGCTTCTAATGCTTCCGAGTGAGCTTCTATTTCCGAGAATACCCGAGCGGAAACTTTGGCCTCAATCCGGTTCACTATACTTGTTGGCAAACCGGCTTCTTTCACCTTTTTGGCCAAACTCACAAAATGTAGCTCGGTGCTATCCTGCTCCTTCCTCTCCACGCAGAACTCGGAGCAAGTTTGAGTTATGCTTGAAGCCGCCAGGTCGATCAACGCCTCGAATTTGTCCCGCTCGTCTTCCTATTTGAAAAAGCAAATGTATATTAGTATTTAAACAAGAATATAACAAAAAAGGGTTAGTTCGTTAGTTCTCTATACAAAAAGCGGAGGAAAGTATATGCAGCAATTCAGACGAAATTCCTTTTACTTACATACATATATGTACCTACATATGTATATGTATATTACAAATTCTCAATTAGGAAACAACCAACATCCACAAAATGATTACTTTGGACACTGGTGATAGGGTCGATACGAGTTATTTGTAATTCTGGACACTGACGACACTGGACACTGTTAACAACTGGAAAAGTTTAAGATGACCGGCGCTAGTGCCACTAGCTACGTAGGAAACCCACTTCTACGAAACTAATCAAAATCAAAATAATCTTACCTTTCGTACCCGTGAACTAGACGGCGGTGTTTCTGCCGCTGTGGAGCTTTCTTCGTCAATAACTACAAGCTCCTCGGGTATGCTTCCAATTGTTCTAAAACAAATATAATAAATACACTTTTAAAACAGTATTTTTTAGCTTACAAATAAATGTACATGTACTTACGTTCTGGTGCTTGTAACATTGTCCAGGAAAGACATCGCCTCCAAATACCTCCACTTACGCCGAGGAGTTTCAGCACCGCTTCCTGATGTGGACAGCTCCATTCTTTTGCAGCGTTTATAGCAGTCTCGCAGCCCCTTCCACCGCTTTTTGCACATTGCCTCTATAAATTAACTTAACAATTAAGACAAACAAATTATACTTAAATTTTTAGTACCTACCGTCTAAATGAACATTTGAAGCGACCTCCCTCCAGGCGAAGTCCTTCTTTCGCAGATTTTTATAATCTTCCAGGCCCAAATCGTATATTACTGGGCGCTGGCGCACTTCCTCAATTAAAATTTCATCAATTTCCATTGGTAAAACTCTAAAATGCTTAATAAAAAGAGCTTGTAAGAATTAGACGCGCGCGAAACAAAACAAATTGCAAAGCCAAATGACAATTTGCCCGAAGAAGAAGAAGACAAGCCTTTGTC